CTCTCTCTCTCTCTCTCTCTCTCTCTCTCTCTCTCTCTCTCTCTCTCTCTCTCTCTCCTCGCTTCTTACTTATGATTGTATCTCTCCTCCTCTCTCTCTCTCTCTCTCTCTCGCTCTCTCGCTCTTTTGCTTCTGCTTTTCTCTCTCTTGCTTCTTCACTGATGATCCGTGTTCTCTCTCTGCTTCATTGATGATTTGACCTCTCTTTCACTGATGATCCGTGTTCTCTCTCTGCTTCATTGATGATTTGACCTCTCTTTCTCTCTGGATCTTCAACCATGACTTCGCTTTCTCTGTCCATGTTCGTCTCTCTCTCCACTGCTGAAGTTGCTTCTACGCCGATGAACTGCCCTCTCCTTTTCCGACTGCTGTCTTTCTCTCTCTTATATATGTCTTATTTCTTCTCGATCGCATGATCACCCATGATATAGCTCTTATTTTCACCTCTTTCTCTCTCTCAACTCCATCGCATCATCATCCATGATATAGCTCTTATTTTCACTTCTCTCTCTCTCTCTCTCAATTATCTTGGCTCTGAACACAGTTTTTGCTTCATTTGACTGCGCAATCTGCTTCTGCTTATCCTCTCTCAACTTATTCCCATCTTTTTATCCGTTTCTCCTTTATTTACTTCCTCTCCATTTTTCCTGGAACACTCAGAGAACGTAGTTAGGAGCACTCAGTTACAGTCGAACAAAGAGTTCAATAGACACGTGTTGTACTGGCACAATTGTTCCCGCTCTTCCTTAATTTTCCTCCAAATTTTCAATTTTAGGTTTTAGAAATGGGTCTGGTTTCTTAAGGTGTCAACCATAAACAAGCGCATCTCCAAATTTTATCAATGTAATATTGATGTAAAATTGTTTTAGGATTATTTGAAATTTTATTTTTATATCTAATTATAAAATTTTAAATTTTAAAAATATTAAAATAAATGAATATATAAAAATAGGGGTGATCTAGATAATGTGGTGCATTATTTTTTAAGACTCAAATTTTTATTTTATTTTATTTTACCATTCATATATCGCAATGTCAAGATCAGAAGGCTTTTCAACATCAAAACATCTTTAATTCCTTATATAAACTTTTTCCTTATATAATTGGTGTTCGCTCTCGTATTTTTTTTGCTTGGCATGCTACTTATAAGCGTGTGAGCTGTGACGGTTTTAATATTCCCACCCAAAATTCTGGTGAGAATTTCGAAACAGTTTTCCTTGGAGCTGTAGGGTCGATATTTTTGTCTTGAGTACTATATGTACGGATATTTAAAAAAGAAAATATAAAATGGGTCAATTTTGGACAAAATTATGCTGAATGTCATTCAATTTTGGACAAAATTACTTTTTTATCTGAAAATGACACCCTCGAAATTTTTTTTATTTTTGTTTTTAAATTTTTCATTAGCGTAGATTTAAAATTAATGTATAGTTGTGGTCTCTCCAAAGGAAATGGTCACATTAATAACTTTAAAAGGAAAAAGTCTATATAAGGATGCATCCTCATAATGTAGAACTACGGATAGACCTCAAAAATCTATCGGAAAAGGTAGTTTTAATGTTGAAAAGCCCTTTGATTGATCATCTCGATATCGAGATATATGACTATGAAAAATAAAAATATTTTAAGTCTTAGAAATAATGCATTTTACAACATATTATCTACACCGTCTATTTTTAAAATTTTCATATGTTCATAGATCTACTTGATTTTAATTATTTTTTAAATTTAAAATTTTATAATTAGATATAAAAATAGGTTTTGATTTAATCTTAAGGACAATTTACATCAAAATTATATACCATGATAAAATTTAAAAGTGCACCTTACCTCTACAGCTACGGATGCATTCTATGCGAAATGCACCCATTTTAAAATGTTCTTTCAAAAAATTATTATTTTAATTATTATTTTTATATTCTCCATACTAGAGATTGTCACCTAAAATATTAGGTCCAAACTCGATGTGATGAAGAGAGGACAGATGTAGTCCTAGGACTTATAAAAACAACAAACTAAAATTCACCCGAATTTTGGGTCGGAAATCAAATTTTGAGGTGAACCAAGATTCCTAAAAAAATTTTTTGCTGGTTGCTTGTTTCTTTTTTTGAGACTAAGCATCTACCACTCACGTTTTAAAACTCAGAGATTTTCATCGGAATTGGCCTAGATCGCTGAATTGTTTTGAATTGGCCAAACGGCGAACCAACACGGATATGTAAAGTGGACCATCCGCATTCGATGGATCTGGGTTTTAAAACATTGAACCATTATCATGTGTAGTTTATGTACCATCCCAAGTATCCTCACTCACTAATCCATTTATTAATTAATTTTAATGAAATCAGGTAATCAAGATGCACGGTTTTAGCACTGACAAAATGCGCAAGAAGGTAAGATAATAAACTTAAATTTCTCATCACCCACTTTGTTTGGCTTCATTTCCTCAAGACCTCGACACGTGGTATTTCAGGATGCTGTGCTCGCTGCGATCGCGGCCATCGATCTGATGCCTCTAAGGCGATCCACGCTCCAACACGGCGCATCACCCTCCGATCTCACCGAGAAGGAGGTGGAGGCTGATGTGGCGGCACTTAATTGGAGGGAGTGCTCCATTAAGTCAGTTGTAACGATTAGGCAGCCGTTGGATGCTCCACGTGTCAATCATCACGGGCTCATGGTAGGCCCCAGTTGTGACACGTCGCTGGTGGCCACCAATTTCTCCCAGTCTAAGTGAGCGCTTTTTTGGTATTGGCGGGACCGACGATCTTTCAACGGGCGGTCCTGATTTCTGTTTCGTTTTTTTGCACCAAGGGTTGTGATTTGTACTGTGCGGCTTTGATGTTTTCTTTCTTGTACACGTTATTCGCACGCCAGACTATGGAGGCACATGTTTTCTTTGTTCTTTTGTGCATAGCATATAGAGAGGGTTAAGAATAGGAGTAATGCATGTTTGGAGAAATTTACCAAAATTACTTTGAGAGATGAACAATTCAATATTTTACTCATATTTTTTTATTCAATTTGAATATACCTATAGAAAACGCATGATTTTAATATAGGGTTTTATAATAGTTACAAAGTGATAAAATATGAAATACTTCGTTTATATTGGGTATTTTGATAATTTGTCCTCCTTATTTTATCCTGGTATGGGGAAATGAGCAATGTGTTTCTGTGGCTCCAATGTACGTGGATTCATACTCTAGAACCTTGAGATAGATTCTGGGTAGGCCCACTCCATGGATGAGCTGAAGCATGCAAAAGCATTTTCGGCTGAGTCCCGCTTGGAACTAACAGAGTTATTTGGATATGGCTCCTTGGTGAAGAAGTACCAGGGTAAAATTTGGATAAAATAAAAAATATAAAAAATTATACATAATATATAT